TCACCAAGGGGCTGTGACTCCTGGGGGGTCTGTGCTGCTTGCCCAGGGCTGGTAGCCCCCCGGGCCTAGAGCCTCTCCGACCCTCTTAAGGACCAAAATAAAGCTGATAATGGTGGGCTCTGACCCGCCCCCAGCCCCCCATGGCACGGGCTGACCCCTGGCTTCTCTCTGCTATGTCCCAGGCTGAACCCTCCAAGTCGGACCATGGGATCCCTCCCCACCATGTCACCTACCCCTGCGTGGGGCAAGCGAAGCTCGTGCCTTTTTTCACCGAGATAGGTGGGCTCTGGGGGCTGAGGTCCTGCCCTGGCACAACTTGGGGCCAAGCCCTGGATCTGGCCCATGCCCAGCGATGGCCATCTCGTAGGCTCAGTTGCTGGCCCCAGCTGCAGGGACCTGGTCGTGCTGTGCTTGCCACCACCGGAGGTGTGAGGGGTCTCCTTGCTGGACCATCCTTCCCCCATGCTTGGTTGCCTTCTACATGCTCCCAGTATTCCCAGTCCTCCACCTTCTCCTCAGGCCCTTCACCTTCCGTGGAAACCAGATTTTGCTTAATGGGCCGTGTCTTGGTGCTCTAGCCCCAGGTTGCAGCCTCCAGCCCACGATGACCCTGTTGCCCCCCTCAGCATGTCCCTCTGATGGCTTTGCCAGCAGACTGCTCTCCTCAGCCAGCTAGAACAACCCGCTGTCTGGGCAGTGTTTTCCATGGTCTCCGTGCCGTGGCCTGTCTGGAGTACAACGCAGTGAAACGGCTGTGGAAGGTGGTCCCATGAATAGGATCTGCTCTTTCTCCAAGTCCTTCTCTTGCTTCGTAGCCCTCTTGCTTCTCTGAGCCAAGGTACTGTGCTGAGGTCAGCCATGGGCAGGCCCAGGTTGTCGCCTTTAATTTTTCCATCAGGAGGGGAGGAAAATAGAGGCAAGGGCAGAACCATGAGCCTTGGAGATCCTCTCTTGGTTTCTAGCTCTTGGGAAAGAGAGGTTTGGCAATGCCGTGGTACGGAATGACAGTCTGAACACATGGACTGTGTGTACAAGGAGCCAAACTCGGTGTGATTTTGTGAGCCCGCTGTATTGACTCCAGGGAGGGGCTGCCTACGAGGATCCATCATTTTAAAACCATGAACCCTTAAGAACACTTGTGTCTCTCTCTTTTGCTTTCCTCTCTTTTTGCTTCTAGAAAGGGAGCGGCACGACGGCACCTTGGCGCTCAGGGGCTGCTGCCAAAAACCGTCCTCCACCAAGGCAGCAGGGACCCTCCAGCTGGAAGAAGCTTTCGGGGCAGCCTGGGGAACTGAGGAATCCGTGCCATCATGGGGGTATTGTGGCTGGCCAGGTTCATGCTGGGATGTACAGCGGTTATGTACGTGGAACGAGCCCAGGGTCAATATGAAGGGGACTTGCAGACAGACAGATTTGCAGGCTACGAGGAAAGACAGCCAGCGAACAGAGTAAGAAGAAGAGGCCAAGACACTTTACGAGGGTACGTTTAATGTTCTTTTCTATTTTACAAAGCAGAACTTGGGTTATTGTTATAGCACATAAAGACTTACAGACTTGCCTTTCCTTGAGCTAAGGAAGGAGCTCCAGTCAGTGCTCTGAGCGGTATCGAGAGGTTAATGTCCCTGACAGCTGCTTTTACGTGATGATCCTTGCTAACGAGATTGCGCTAAGTCCCTTGTTGTGCAGCGTGGCTGTGGCTTGTGGCCTCATCTATAGACAAATCAGTGCAAGAGCTGGACCCGTGAGCATTTTCCACCTGAGGAGGGAGACAGGGATCAGCTAGAAAATCCTGAAGCTCGTGCTGGAGCTCAGCTATGTTTGCATGCTCTCAAGATGGTTCCTGGCCCCGGCGTTGATTCTGGGTTATTTTAAGTCTGCCTGGCTGTGCTTCTTGGAAAGTGTTCCTGTGTGAGTGGGCAGAACCGGAGCAGAACGTGATACATGCGCGAAGCCTGGGCTGTGCCAGAGTCCTCCGGCACTTGCTGGGGAATGCTTCTTGAATGGGATGGAGTGCTCTGCTTTCAGCCCAGACAGTCAAATGTGCCGTGTTTGGGCTGGAGCTGGAGCGCAGAGCCTGGCCAGGGAGTTGGCGGCATCTGCTCTTGGAATTCCAACGTTGCGTGGCCACTCCCTCCGGCTACGGCAGATTTGGAAAAGATGGACAGCAACTGTCCTGGAGGTTTGGTCCTCTCAAAACTAACTACCAAAAGCAGCCATGACCTCGCTCACAGGATAGGGCCACCCTATGTCTCCCCATAAGTATTTTCAGCACGGCCCTCTCTTTGAGACCCTGGGAACATCCCAAATTTCTGTAGCTAACAGGCATGAAGACTGTTTCTTGAAAAGGATGGGGTGGCAGCCCACCAGATCCAGAGATTCTTGTTCAGCCTGGTTGCCCAGGGCTGTCTGTGATCGATTACTGTGCTCGTAACGGGGATGGAAAGGGCTGGAAGGAGTTGATGTGTGCGTGGATAACGTTGTCTCACCCAGCCCTGTGAGAAGAAAGGAAGGGCAGAGCAAGGACTTGAGGAGCACTTGCATTCCCCATGGGACCTGAGAGAAGGTCACTGGTGTCCGGTGGTCTTATGGCACTCGGGGACTATGGTGATCAAATCCTGTTTTCAAAAATGGTTTACAGCTTAAATCCTTTTAGTTTTTATGAGTCTGGAGAGGCCAAATCCCAAGTGCATGTAAGAAATGAAGCCCAGATGCCCAAGTTAGAAGTGGCTTCTGAAAACCCTTCTCTACTTTAAAGCCTCAGACACGGAGCAACCCTTAAGTAAAATAATACCAAATTATCAGTTGTGTAAGTTCTTAGCGGCCACACAGTAAGCTCGAGGCAGGATCAGAATCAGACTTGAAGTATCCCTGGCCAAAGACCACACTGCTACCTTAATTTTCTCTTCTGCTTTCCTCATGCCCTCTGAAGCGATTGCTGTAGGAAATAGAAAAAAAATCCAAACCAACCAAACAACAAAACAACCTACTGGGATAAGAGCGAGGTCTGTTGAAGGAAGTCTGTGCAGCTATAATTTGACTAAAGAGTCATTGTTTCTTGGCCCTTGGGATAAGAGCAGTCTTGTTGCAAGGGAGGGAATCGTGGTGGCAGAACTCGAGAGGCTGGAGCTTCTGCCCCGGGCTCTTCCCATGCTCTGTGTCGAGTGACCCGGACGGGCTCCTAGGGTTTGTGTCCAAGTCTCTCCTTCAGGATTTCCAGCCCTTCAAGCAGTCTCTCTCTTTTAAAATCTCCATTTTACAAGCGGAGTAAACCACTTGAGATGAGCAATCTGTTGCAGAGTGATGTTCTGAATGATTTTCCACTGGGCTTAGAAAGCAGCTGCAGATGTCATCAGCTACGGGGCTGTGGATGGGTCTGGCAGCCAGTGAAATCCAGCTCCTGCGGAGCCACAGACCCCAAACAGCGTTAGCCCCTTGTCCTTATGCTCTGGCTTGAAACGATTTTGGAGAGTTGCAGTTGTAGATCAGCATCTTCCCTGACTGGGGTTTTGCTGCCTTAAGGTATTGGGAATCTTTGCCGCTGTGAAATTTGACTGGGTGGGAAAATCAGATAAGTCATCATTTAAGGTTTGGTTCACTCACAGATTGGTGCTGCAGTAGCAAAAAGAAATGACTGGACAGTGAGTTTTCTTGGTGTGGCTTTAAATGTAAAGGAAGGTAGGGCTGTCTTTTAAAATTTCATATTATTTTACAACACAGGCACGCAAGTGCCTCGTCTTGGTTACTGTGATTTGTGGAATCGCTTATTCTATAATACCACACCTCTAAACACTCATCTGAACCTCTAAACACATTTATCTGTGCTGTCTATTCTAATAGTTCATGACACCTTTTCAAATATTTGCCTTGGCGTTTCAAAGACCCACAGCTTTCTTCTTCAGAGAGAAAGCCTAATTTCAATCCAACTTTCAGCTGAAATATCTTTGGTTCCGAGTTTTGATTCGCTTCTGAGGTTTGCATGAACGGAATTTAAATAGAACAGGAATTAAAATGCAGCAAAGCTTAGCTGCGTCATGCGGGCCACCACCCCCAGCCACCGTCCTGAACACTCTGGGTTTTGTGAGAATGCTCAAAAGTTTGTATATCGGTTCCGAAGGGGAGGAAACGGACACGTTTTGGGGATCTGCTGGTTGGATCTAACGATGGAGCAGTGCAGAGCCTTTACTTCTGCTTCCACTTCTCCTTTGTGGAAACCTTCTGCTCAGGGCTTCTGTCTGACTTGTGAATAGAAATAATTTGTTTTCCCAGCACAAGTGAATAAATGTTTTCCTTTCATACGCTGCGCTCGAGACCTTCTATCCTGCCAGTTCTCAAAGCCTTTCCCAGGAGCGCCGCGTACGTTTGAGGATTTGATTTGATTACTCAAGGAAGCACAGGATATCTGCTCTCTTTTGGAGGCGAGTTACCTTGTGTGACGTTTTAGTCAAGTGATGCTTACGGAAATACACAGAATAATTTAACATCCTAGAGCTCCTGGTGAGAAACCGCTGTCTAGTAACTCCAGTGTGGCCAACGCAAGCATTCCTTGCTCATGCCTGGAGCGTACTGGCTGTGCAGTTGTGGAGGTCTTATTGGTAGAAGAGCAATTCAGAGGGGAAGATTCTATGTGTTTCTGCTGGAAACATATTTATCTGGAGCTCTGTTCCCATCCCAGTCTCCTTTAATCACGGGAAAAGCATGAACTAACAGCAAAACATGAAATAAATGCAAAATAAACAAGCCTTTTATTCACCAATGCTTTTACGAATAACAATTAATAATGTGGAGCAATAAATCACAGCCAAAGCCCTGATTTAATCTGTCCTTAAACTCATTAAAGTAGAGACAATTTAAAATGACCGTCTCCTGAAAGGAACAGCACTGACAAATCCATTTATGAGGCAGGATTTGAATGGGATTATTAGTTTAATGAACTATTGAACAGTTTCCAAGAGCAAGAATGTGTTTAACAAAGGGGAAAGAAAAGATGATTAGTCTGCAGGCAGCTGAGCTGTTTTGCTGGCAGCGTGATTTCCTGTAAGTTCATGGCTGCCTGTTTTTTCAAGTCAGAATAAAGGCTCGGCTCTAGCTTGACTTTAAACACAACTAATTATGTCAAGCCCATTAATTATGAAACGGCCACTGCAATTGAGAAGATGGATGAGGGGAGGAGGTTTGGGGAGGCGTTTGCCGTACCTCTCCCATTGCCGTACCTCTCCCATTGCCGTACCTCTTCCATTGCTCTGACTTCTACGAAAGGATGGAGAGGCGTCTAAATTAATTGTGGGGAATACAAGGAGTTTCCAAGCTGCTCTCGCATCGATTTTTTATTTATTTTTTTTGATGCCGCCTTCTTTTCCAACTTGACCCTGGGGAATGGAGAAGACAAGTACATTGCAACTGCGGAGGAGGAGTTGCTGGGATGTAGAAGAACCCTCCATCCAGCACCCGAAGCTTGGCAGCTCGGAGGTGGTGGAGAGGGAAAGGCACAGGCTGGGATTCTGGGCTAAATGGGACCAGGTTAAACTGGAGCTGACACTGGGACAGTGTTTAAGAGATGGGACAGAGCAGAGTTGAGCTCTTACCACTTCCATAGATGGTTTCCAGCAGCGTTTTAATCAGACTCCATCCCTGACATCGCGGTTCCATCATAATACAGGAATTGCAACAGTTTTTGTGACCAGCAGCAATTGCAATTTTCTTCACTCTTGCTTTAGGTTTGCGGGAAAAGTGTCTTTAAAAAGTGCTGATACCCTAAACCAGACCTCGCAGATGTTTCATGATTCAGGCCCTGATTTTGCTAAGTTCAAGCATCATGTTTTAGTTGACTTTGTTGGGAGAAATAAACCCCGGGTGGGAGTCAGTCCAGCTTCCCTGCAGTGTCACCACCTCTGCTGAGACTGCAAAATCTAGTGAGAGGTTTTCGTTTCCACATTGTCACGGAGTGAAGTCCTCGGGGCAGTTCTGTTTAGAAATGGTGAGGAAGAACACGGCAGTGGTCAAACTGGGCAGGATGTGGGTCTCTGTGCTCCAGCTGAGTTTAGGGTGGGGGCACACACCTCAGGAAGGTGCAACTGGAGCTGAGGTCCAGTCACCTCTTGGTCCACACGCTCCATGCATATGCACCTCAGTATTTCTCCACAAAGCTAGAGGTGAAATACTACAAACCCCAGAATGAACAAAATTAAGGCAGCAGCTGGAAACTTCTGACTTAAGGCTCTTGTTCCTTATTTTAACTTGTGCCTTGATTTATATAGTGAAATGGTTTATCTTGGACTTCTGGGCTAGGCTGGTTTCTCTTGTTACTGGCAGGAAACGTGAAGGCGAGTATTGGCATGGCAAAAGATTCTCTGGCACAGGAGTTACTAGGTTATATGGGTTTTGTCTGGAAGTTTTAAGAACTGGATTTGAAGTTTGATTTATGTCAGAATTTAAGGGGAAGAAAAAAGATGGAAGAGTTGGTAATGATGCTTTCCAAATGGAAGTGTTAAGCAGTTCCTGGAAAACAGTTGCGTTTTTAGTCTTTTTCAAAGGAAAGTCTTCTCTGTGGTTTCTTGCTGATATATAGGATTTAAATTTAAATGTGCACAAATAAGGGGAGATTTTCCCTACCATCACTGTTACAAAATGTGTGAGGATCTCAATAAAGGGGGAAAAAATACTATTATTGACAAAGAAAAGCTGTATAAGAAGATTTAATAGACCTCCTTCACCAATAAAAAAAAATAATGATTCATTGTTTAGGTTTGAATTTGGCATTAGCCTAAGCAGATGGAATCCAAAATTCATAGTCTTTGTATGACTTCCCTTGCGTTTTGCTTCATTCCTTTTTTGAAACTGAATAATAATCATGCATCTTTTAAAAATTCTTTCCATTACTTGTTTTTGGGGTTTGGGTTTTGGTGGTGTTTTTTTTTCCATAGTTCTCAGTTAAAATTCAGGTGCCTACCCTGGAGTTGGCTTTGCATGGCTCGAATCACCTAAACTTGCACGACACTTTGTTGTAAGCACAGAGATTTATTTAGGTGTGATCTAGTTCCCTCGGCGGCAGCCAAGCCACCTCCTCAGCTTGACTTTCTCTGTCTGTCTGTCCAGAGCGCGCGGATGCAAGAGGTCCTGAGGCAGCTCTGCCTGGGCGCAGGCAGGATGTCTGAGCTGGGGCTGCAGTTTTGTGCTGGGAATCCAGAGGTTTCTGATGGGACCTTCCTTCATCGTAGTGTCTTGCTCCATCACCTTGCTGATGGCCTTACTTTCAGGTGGGAGGCATTAAGCAGCTCCTTTGCAGGGTCTGTATCCTTACATTAAATAAGGGATCACCTGCAGGGGAACATCTGGCTTCTCCAGGGGTGTTGCTCTACTTTCTCATTTGCAAATTACTCACTAAACTCTATATGTTGCTTGGGCACATATAGATCTGGGGAAACAAGCAGTAAACATAGCACAGTCTTAGACTTGGAAAATTGCTAAATCATTGAAATAAATACTTGCAGTTCATCTGAGGGATCTGGTGAGTCCAGGATGAGGAGGACACAAATATGCTCGTCTTTAGGCTAGGGATCCAAAAGACAGCATTGTTTCAAATCTGTTCTCACGCCATGACACAATCCCGAATCCTCCTGGGTGGGGGGACGCATCACCAGAAACCACTGTCACATTTGGCAGTAATTATTGTCCCCTTGGTGAGCTCCACGGAGGCCAAGGGTGACCGATGCCTGCAATGGTGTCCCCCAGTTATTGTGAGAGATGATCCCCTGGGCTCAGCAAAGAAGCAGGCTAAGATCAAACCCCAAAAGAATCTGGAATTGTAGGAAAAATTGCCAGCTCAGACGGAGAGGTGGGATCATTGTCCTTGGAAAAGCCACACGCTTAAATCATATGAGACTAGAGAATGGAGTGCTGGTATTCATACACAGATTTGATTTGCACAGGGAGGAATTTAATGATGGGGACAAGGGGGCAAATAATGTAAAACCAAACTTCTACGTCTCTTGCTTAAAACGGCTCTTCTCTAGATAGCAGACAGCTCTCCTTTTTGCAGTAGTGAACCAGACATTTTTCACTAAACTGCCATTACTTAAATTTTCGCTGAGCTGGTGAATTTACAGCAAAAAACTTGGAAGGGCTCAGGGAAGCCCAGTGCAGTCGTCGGGCTGATGGCCATTCCTAACGCTGAACGAGCAGAAGTGCATCAAGAATGCCCTGGGCATGCACCAGAGCAGATTAGTGGCAGGGTGACATCTCAGGGGAAGGAGTCTCCATTTGGTGAGAACAGCAAGAAATTGGCCCAAAATAATGAATTATAGTGAATTCTTCCTGAATTAATACGTTGATTCCCCTCTGGATGAGGCCAGTGAGAAGAACAGTGAGCAGCAAGGGGAGCAATCCCTGTGCTGAGAGCAGCTCTGAGAATTACTGGGGCAAAGCCACCCGTCTTCATTTGCCTCTGTCTTCCTCTAATTCGAGGAATGGAAATAACGCTTCTGAAGGCCAGGGGCAACTGAGGGACAATGATTGCTCGTGCCAGGGGAGCCAAACCCTGGGCTGCTGTTCCTACTGTCTGGAAAACTCACACTACCTGTAGCCAAGGGTCCATTAGCTGCGGGTCTTGCTGGATGGCAAGCTCCATGCAGGACGCTGCTGTCGTTGCACAAACCCGCCCTTTAGTGACTGCGCGGATCTTTCTGGAGAAGGTTTGGAGGGTTCATCCTAGCTGGGTTTTCTTTCTCCCATGGCTGGAGGAGTGGACAGAAGACCTGGGTGTGTATTGAGGTCATGGCTGCAGGTGAGCAGGACGGTCAGGGTGACTTGGCTTTGGTTTTGGCCAGCATCTGCAAAGCACCCTCAGCCTGGACTTCACACGCTGTGCTGTCTGCCCTCTCCTACCTTTAACAATGAGCGCAATCCTGCTGCCGTCTCGCTAGGCATCTGACAATAACTGGCAGGACCGAGTCCTTTTGGGCTGCTTGCTCAGCGAGTAGGCACCGATTCAGTGCTCCAGGCTGTCCCTTTCCTGGCTGCTCACAGGAACGCACTGCTGCAGCAACGGCCAGATGCCGCTTGTGTTCTCGCCGCCCCAGGCACCCCGAGCACTGAGCAATCTTGTGGTACAGACCGTCTTCCCAGGCTTCGACTCTGTTCTGGGCTTCTCTCGCTAACAGCCAGGCGTTTTCCCATCACACAGCCACAGCTCTGCTCTGCTTCATTTATTTTTCTTTTTTTCCTTGGCATCTCCCAGTTCTCAGACGGAGCCACTGCCAGCAGGCAGCGTTCGGTGCCATCAGTTGAAATTCATGCGTACTTTGTCCCTGCTTGTCTCTGTAATCTTAATGTTTATTTAGAGTGGACAAAAAAGACGCTACGGCCAGGATTGCTTTTCCCTCTGTCCTTTCCTAGCATCTCTCTTGGCCATATTCGCTTTTGTTGAAGTAGTTCTGGTTAGCAGCTGAGCTCTTTCAGCCTTTTCCGAGGCTGCACAGAAGGTGACGAGGGAAGATCTGCCTCGTGCTGGTGGGTCTATGTATCGACGGAACCATGAGGGTGGACCAGCCGTGCAGTCCTTTGCCAGGAAGCATCACTAGAAAAGGCTGGTGTGAACTTATCAGCTCTTATATCCATGGCTTTAGCACCCAAAGGAGAAGCCCTGTGGGTGTTAGCAGTTCAGCTGCGTCCCTCTAGGACCACGACGTGTCTGGAGAAGACCCTTTCCTGCTCCTGGTTAGCAAGTAGGACAAGCTGAGAGCGAGTAGGGAAACAATCCGTTCCAGCAGAAATAGCTCTGCATCCAAGGTCTCCTTTTAACTTTTAAGGACAAAAGCAACAGATGGCTGGAAAATTGGAAAATGGAGAGACTTGAAATCAGAACACAAGTCTGCTCTCCACCTCCAGCCATAGCACGGAATTATTTTAGCAGAGCCCTCGATTCTATGGTTGCGGGACTGGAGGAGGAGGCTCCACAGAGCACTGGGCAAAAGCAGGTCACTTGGAAAAATATTTGCCCAGGGCTTCTACAGTGGTCACTCTATGCCCTGGGAAAATTAGAACAGGGAAGCGGAGTTCTGCACAGGCAGGTTCAGAAGTCAGTCATTAAAATAATTTATGGTGGCTCCTTTTGGTGGGAATTAAACATGGTTTGCTCGAACTCAGGGTGAGAGGATGGAGTTTGGCAGAGAAACGTCCCAGAAGAGGCTCTTCCAGCTGCTCTCCTCCAGCAATGGTACATGCTGAATTTACCCAATGGCGCTGCACGAAAATAACAGAGGGGAAAAAATTGTTTTTCATTTTCAGACCCAATGTCTGTGGCTCGAGGTTCCACTCCTACTGCTGCCCCGGCTGGAAAACACTGCCCGGAGGGAACCAGTGCATTGTCCGTGAGTATGCATTTTCCAGTTAAGGGCTCGGGGGAAACTCGCTGCTGTGTGGGAAGGGCTGTGTATCTCGCACTTCAGCAGATGACAGAACATTTCATAATCCACTGGGACAGGCGCAGCGATTGCTGGGAGTTCTCATCTCTGCTAGTCTTGATTAAAGCAGGGTGGCTGCAGTTGGTCCCGTTTAGTGCGTGGCCTTTTATCTTCTGCCAAATTGCCACTGTGCTCCTTCTTGCTTGACAGTTTGTGTGCCTGCTTGTGGAGATTCGCCTCAAAGGAAAGCTCTTGGTGACTCCTGAGAAAGGGATTTGGGAGCTACTTGTTTAGATGAAATGATTCAGTGAGTTGCTAGCACAGCAGCTAGATGCTGACATTGCAAACATGATGGCATGAGACGGTGTCTACAAGCAGGAATTTCGCATCTCTCTTCGAGAGGCCATCCAAAGCAGGATGCTGATTTCGATAAATCACACCTCTCTCTTGGCAGGTAGCTTTCCAATTTGGAGGAGAGCATTACTGGACTCTCAAGTGCTGATGCACACCTACAAAATCCATTGAGGGGCTGACGTTGTGCATTTCTGTAGGTGAGCTCTAGGGAGATGAAGGAGCCTACCCTTTGGGGGATGTGAAAGCCAGCTCAGGAGTAAATAAATGAGACTGGTGATGGTAAAAGACATGGATTTCTGCACCTTCCCACACGAGGAGAAACAGGCAAACTCACAAAATCCTCCTCCCCACCCCTTGGACAGCAGATACTCCGCCAAGGGTACAAATTTGACACTGGCTGCAGCGAAGGGTTAAGGAACGCGCAGCCAAAGAGCTGCTCAGTGGCACGCGGGGTTCGCGACACTCGGGGGTGTCTACTGACTTTTCTCATAACTGTAAAATGTGCCATCTGGGCCGGAGGTCCTCAGGGGACCGTGTGTTGTAGTTGTATTTATAAAACACGCAGAGATGAGATACTTTCATGGGAGCTCTAATAAAATCTGTGCTTACACAGGTGGAGCAACACTGCCAGCTATGCTCTTGGCTCCCATGGCACAGGAAGGGGAAGAGATTAGCGGGAGTCCCAGGCAAGAAAGGAGAATGGGGATTGATGTGAGGGTGTCCTGCTGATGCACCTCTGGCTGCCTCAGCCCCTCGTTCAACAGGAGGTGCATCTTGGTGACAGCCAGTTTCCTCAATGCCAGAACCGTGGGCTTCGTGGGAGCACAAAAATTTTAAGGAAAAGAACAACCTGGTTCAGGCTGAGAAATATTTTTAGCAGGCAAAAAGGAGTGAAATGCAGCTCCCTCATCCTCTGCTGCTGAAGAAGCAAGGTGGCAGCAGGACCAGCCACAGTTTGTGCTAAAGGGAATATGTCGCCAGGATTTCTCTGCAAACGAGTGGGTCCTTCCCACTGTTGTTCTGCTCAAGGTCTTCAAGAGGTGCCCCAGTTTCCTCTCCAGGTTATTAGTCTTAAAAGAGATGAATTCACGCCATTATGGCAGCCAAAACCATGTCTGCGAGCAAGTTCATAGGCTACGTGCTAATCACTGTGTCCTCCTCTTCCTCCAGCAATTTGCAGGAATTCTTGTGGCGATGGATTTTGTTCACGGCCAAACATGTGTACGTGCTCCAACGGACAACTTTCTCCCAACTGTGGCTCAGCTGGAGGTAAGAGAATGTTGCTGGTGATTCTCCTCCTTCCGGAGTAGTTACGTGCTCTCTTAACAGTTTCCCAGTCACAACGAAAGGAAACTGTGCATCCCTGAAGTGTTTTGTGTTTTGGTAGCCAGGTTCTGATCTGAATTGGGCAGCAATCACAAGATCTTCCGTTTCTTGTGGTGCTTTTACTAAGGGCTGTTGCTGCCCCTCATACCTGGAGAAAATTGGCCACGTGCTTGCAATTTCTGCTACTTTGGTGAGAGAAATCCTACAGGATTCAGCTCAGAAACCACATCTCACAGCAGCAAACGGCAACACTGCTGCCAAAGCATCCATCCACTCCTGGCTGGTTTTGAAGTGGAATTAAATCTGTCACTGCTTTTGTTAACCAAATAAGTATTTATTTTTTTTTCCACTGGAAAAAATATTACGTTTTTCTTAGGCTGTGATTTGGATGTCAGGGAGAATTGCCCAGCATTTTCAGCAAACTGCAGTGACATGATGAAGTTGCACATCAGCAGAGTTGGGAAAGCAGAAATGGCATTGCCAGTTCTTCTGCTTTGTTCTCCCATCTCAGACCTTCAGGACAAAAAACTGAAAAGCTCTGGGAAGAAGACTGGGTGGCTGAGGTTTCTGGAGGACACAGCAGAGTGACAGGCACATATCCAGAAAGCAATTCCCAGATGCCTTCGGTAATCCCTGCAGGGTGTGCTCAAGACCAGATCCTGTTTGCAACCACTCCATTACCCTGCACAGAAAACACTCCTCTTGCTTGAGTCTAAATCCTAATAGCTAATGGGCTTGTGTCCTTCCTGGAAGGGACTTATTGCTCCTCTGTGCCCCTGGGTTGTATTGCTGGCAAGAACCTGGGAGTTATGGTGGACACCAGGCTGGGCATGAGTCAGTAGTCACGTAACAGAGGTCAGTGGTTGCTCCTTGGGGTGTTCAAGGTTGGGATCTTCAGGCATGAAGAAAATTTTCTTCTTTCACTCCTGATGTCCAGCAAGCCCTTCCACCCACGCTCCTGGGAGCCAGCAGAGAGACCCACCTGGCTGATGCCCGGGGGTCTGCCCCACAGGGCTTCGGTTGTTTCTAAAGCCGGTAGCAGTGTGTGAGTGAGCGCTGGCCAGACGTGGGTGGTGATACTGGGTGACCGGTTGCACTGACCTGATTAGCAGTCTGACCGTACACAGTGACACTACTCAAACACACCAGCCAATGAAAACAACCTGCAAGTAAAAGAAGAGAGCTGTGGCACGGGCTTGTTTTAAGCAGGCTGATTTTGTTTAGTGCCCTATGGAAAACGCAGAAATTAATGGGATTTTATCGAACCTTTTGAGGTCTCAGGTGGCCACTGCTGGAGACAACCAGAAATCTATTTTCCATTATTGCCCGTCTGTAGGCAAGCTGTTCATAGAATCATAGAATGCCATAGGCTGGAACGGACCTTAGAGATCATCTAGTCCAACCTCCCTATTGTTTAAATGAAGTGACTTGAAGGCCAAGAGAACTAGCACCCCTCAAACCTCAAAAACCACATTGCAGGGTGTGACTCCGAGAAGGAAATTCCCAGAACCTGATTCCCAATTGCCACGTTGTGCTCCGGCCCCGCCGAGAGCACCAGAGCCCGTGTGCTCGACCTTCCCCACCAGGGAGGAAGGTGCTGGAAACTCAGCCTCTGGAGCGGAGGGTCCATATGTTAGCAATCAGGGAGGAATGTGAGGAATGACGTAAGCAGTTCGATACGTTTGGGCACAGACCTGGCATTCCCCTGAGCCTGGGGTGGATTTCAGCGTGCACTCGAGGGGGGTGGGTTCCTCTGCAGGGGCTTCGTCCAATCTGGCTTTCATTGTGGGGATGTTTGGATCTGCATTTATCATGAACGCTTCAGGGGAGGTAAAGCAGACAAATTGTGCATTCCAGAGGCAATAAAAGCCGCTCTGCCTCTCTCTGTCATAACAAAAAGCTTGGTTTCCTACTTTGGGGAGTAAAGATAATTTAGGAGTCGTTTGCAAGTGGCTGTTAAGATAGTAGCAGTCGTAAGCAGACAGAAAACCTGCCTGCAAGCTTCACTACTGATGGCTGGCAAAACAGCTGAAGCCACCAATCCTTTAAAATAAATTTTAGACCTAATCCAATCCAACCCAATCTGGGAAAAGTTAACTAGGGTGAGCTGTCACTCTCTTTTTCCCTAGAACTTTGGTCTTTGCTACCCTGGAAAATCCTGACAAAGCATTACAGGCCTTTAAATTCTTGGTTGAAAGATGTTTTTCTGCACTGCACATCTGCAGGGGGTTCTAACAGTGCCAGACGTGGAGATAAGTCGGATGCTGATGAGGCTTTTAAGGCTTTGGGGATCACGAAGCAAGAAATGGGACCTGCTCTGTGCAGGACCAGGAACTATCGTTGCCAATTAGTTAGAAAGAGCTCCCAAAATTTTTCAGCCTCACTAAGCCTTACCTCTTGCTGAATGCCCTGTAGGGAAGAGCTCTGACTGACAGACAGCTCTGACAGACAGGGGACAGACAGACGTTTCCTAGCTCCCCCTGTCTCTGGGCAGCCCTCCCAGACCCGCCGTGCGTGATTGCTTTCCCAGGGCTGATTACGCGAGGGGCGTAGGGTGAAGCGTGCGCTGGAAACGTGGGGCCGGGCTCACGCCTGACAATCCGGGCAACGTTTTGAAGCCTCAAGCTTAGTTTACTTAATGATTATGCTTTCATCTAAATTTGGCCTGATCTCTGGCCGTGGAGCACTAGGAAGGGTAGCAGACATCGCGACTAATTCAAACCACACCAGCAATGCGTGGATTCAGTGTACAGCACATGTGAATGCAAAGCTCTGAGACTTCCCGGTCCACTCCTCCTTCCTCTCAGGCTTCCTCCGAACAAGGCGTAAACCATATAATTATCCTTATTGGACACTTCGGAGTCCTACTACCTCTTGGACAGACGTTTCTCTTGCGCTGGCCCCAGCTCTCGCCTGCTTGGAGCTGGCGTTGCTTGCACGGAGACACAAGCACGGAGCATCCACTCGCGTACGCGCTCTCCGAGCTGCCAAGTCACGGCCCCTCCTATCCCTGGCAGACACGAACTGTGGTGTACATGCTGAAAAACAGTTTTCACATAGCTTGCTAAAACCTCAGGCGCTTGCAATTTGAGTTGTCACATCTTACAAAGGAAGAATGTGTTGTTGCAGGCGTTTTGGTAACGAATGAAAGCTGTTTGACCCGTTTGTGTGACTCAATGTTGAGCAGTAAACCTCCCTTTTTGGGCTCTTCTGCTTCAATACCACATTCCTTAAACACTGAATAGTGGTGAAACAGTTAAAGCCAAAACTGGCTTTGTGTCTACACAAGGATAAACTTCCCAAATCTGATTTATTGCTATTGTTTTCCTACAGTGCACTAGTCACATTCACTGTGTCATCATCTAGTGTGAAGGTTGAACTCTGACACAGAGGGAAGAAGAGATGAAACGTGCTTTTCTTTTCAGATTTCTTTAAAAAGCCCTCTTGTTTTAAATGGATCTCACCAGTAAGGCCACATAGTAATTGTAAAAGGAAGAGAAATATCATACAAGTTGATGGTTTTTTCTTCCACCAAAGAAATTCTATCCCCGCAAACATCTCGTAGTCTTTTAATATGAAGATATCCTATTTATTAAGCTGCCTGGAATTTGAAAAGCCTGTTTTTAAAAGGGAGCAGTAATCTAAAAGAATCATAGAAAGGGTATGAAAACATTTGAAAAGTGTAGCATTCTAAAAGAAAGATTTGTTTGGCATGAGGGAGTTATTCAAGAAACGGAGGTAGCAGGAAACTCGCCCTTACTGGGAAGTCAGAAGTCTCTGCATTTAACTTGAACGAACTGGGCATTTAACATCACCCTTAGAATGTTTGGGACATCATCCCGTGAGGTGTTCGCCTCCTGTCACCCCCAGTCTTGTTGCACCGCCGTGTGACATTTCCCTGCTTCCCTCCACAGTCCAAACCTGCAACGTGAGGTGCATGAACGGTGGCAGCTGCAACGAGGAGTCCTGCCTCTGCCAGAAAGGCTACACGGGAACGTACTGCGGGCAGCGTAAGTACGGAATTTCACTCTAAATATACACATATAAATATATATATATGCATGTTACATGTTGTTTCTCTTGAAATAGTTTTTGATAAACAGCGTATTCTCTGGGAATGGGCTTTTCGTGGGAAACCTTCATTTTAGCTCACATGATGTCTTCTTTCAATTAGAAGTAAAACAACAAAAAAACCCCAAACAAGGCAACATTTTTTGATTATAAATTATGCCTGGTTAAATTTGAGGTGTGTGTCAATTTTTAGTTCTGTTTATTTGACAACACTGACTTTTTACAGGGAAGCCTCCATATAGTAATTAAAAGAAATTTTAGAACGTTTTATGACTTGCTTTTCTCTTTTGTTACAGCACCCATACCTTTCATAGGGAGAAATTTAATTTTTCTCCCTAGTTTCCTATGGGGAAATATTATATGTGGTAATTTTAAATCATTGCCTGTGCACATTGTAGAAGTAACAACCAAATGACTTAGGTGTCATCTTGAAGAAGTGTCTAGTAAGTGAGTATGTACAATAATTTTGGAAGAATCTCTGATCAAGTGGAACTCTCCAGGCAAATTTCAAATCCCTGTATCGATGTGAGAATCACCAAAGTTCTCAAGGAAGTCACTGAGAATTTTTTTTAGAAGTTCCCCTAAACTTATCCTTGGCTACGACTGATTCATTTCTGCTGAAAGTTTCCAAAAAGTTCAACTAAATGCAGATGCACCATATGGAAAATTTCATTCTGAACAACTAAAGCTTGGGAAAATTGTAAGTAAGAGCAACCCGAGGCTTATAATGGAACGTGCTCGGCAACCTTAATTACGTGCTGCTACCAGCTCCACCTATCATATCCTCAGGAGAGTTCTAATGGTTCAGATATTGGCAAGACATCACTGACAGGGTGGGGAACAACGGCAAGTCCCACTGGTGGCATCCCAGCGGAGCAGAATTCGGCTCCCTCGGCTCGGCAATGGGTGTAGCCTTTGCAGGCTGTGAAATGCAGCAGTACCTGGCCTCGCTGCAGCTCGGGGCTTGGCACTGGAGCCCCGCTGAGGAATCGCACAAGGTTGCTGCGGGTTGCACCTCCCACAAGATTGTGTTCTTGTCACCGGTGGGGTTGGGCAACTGACTAGTGCAGAGAGTGAAGCTCAGTAGAGGAGCTTTAGGAAGCATCGTAATGATCTTGTTAGTGATTACAGCGGCTGAGATTTTAATAGGTCAACCAGCAGTTGCTCAGGTCCCGTGCAGAAGTGTTCCTACGTCCTGCTCAGTCAGCTCAGCCCAGGGTCTGAGCAGCAACCTGCTCCTGTCACTTCAGTCACAGAATCACAGAACGTCACGGGTTGGAAGGGACCAAGATCATCCAGATCATGCCAGAGCAGGGTCACCCAGGGCAGCCCCACAGGAACGCATCCAGGCGGGTTGGAAAGTCTCCAGAGCAGGAGACTCCACACCCTCTCTGGGCAGCCTGGGCCAGGGCTCTGGCACCCGCACAGCCAACAAGTTTCTCCTCATATTTTTATGGAACCTCCTGTGCTCCAGCTTGTACCCATTGCCCCTTGTCCTGTCATGGTACATCCCTGAGAAGAACCTGGCACTGACCTCCTGACACTCCCCCTTTCCATATTGATAACCATGACTGAGGTCCCCCCTGAGTCTCCTCTTCTCCAAGCTGAACAGCCCCAGCTCCTTCAGCCTTTCCTCCCCAGGGAGATGTTCCATCCCTCCATCATCCCTCTGGCTGCGCTGGACTCTCTCCAGCAGTTCCCTGTATCTCTGGAGCTGAGGGGCCCAGAACTGGACACAACATTCCAGATGTGGCCTCACCAGGGCAGAGCAGAGGGGCAGGAGAACCTCTCTTGACCTACCAGCCACCCCCTTCTAACACACCCCAGGATGCCGGCGGCCTTCTTGGCCACGAGGGCACACTGCTGGCTCATGGCCATCCTGCTGCCACCAGCACCCCCAAGTCCCTTTCTCCTACACTATTGACTGCACGTTTTTGACTACAGGCAGCAGCTCTAATTTTAAGTCAACGAGTACTTGCATGCTGATCAGACTGGTTCATCTTTGCTTTGGGTATGTGGGATTAAATGGCTGCGTAGCCTCACGTTTCCCTGCTGTCATACGCCAAACATTTGCCTTTATGCAGCCTCTTGTGTGTATCGGTTCGTCTTGCCCTTGACGTTTAAATCCCAATGCTGACCTCAATGAACTGAGATTCCAGAGCGCGGGAAATCCTCTCAAGTGAAATAAGAGTTTATGGCCCTTTTATAAATGGGTTCATTCATAAACAGGATGTAATTTTCCAGGAAAAAAATATCTGACTTTCCTCTGTACGTTCATTGCTCGGGGGAGACTCCTGACGAGTGAGCGAGGAGGTGATAGCCCCAGCCCTGCCAGCACCACACGGCTCACACTGTGGCTTCACTAAAGGGCACAAATCACTGATTTCTCTTTTTGTTTCGTACCAGCTGTCTGTGAAAACGGCTGCCAGAACGGAGGCCGATGCATTGGGCCGAACCGCTGTGCATGCGTCTACGGCTTCACCGGCCCCCAGTGTGAGAGAGGTAAGGAACGCGTTTTCGTGATATTATCGCCTACAGAGCGCAAGAGCAGGAGTTGTGTTTTTAAGTATTCATGTGAACTTCTGCTCGATTCCTCTGCCTGATGGTACAGCCCGTCATGACAACCTCTCGGCCAAAGCTCTCCCTGGTTGCTACATGCGTAGGATGTGAAGTGCTTACTCGCTGTGCGGCTCTTCGGGGGTCTCTGGATCCTCCTCACCACAAGTGGTCCCTTGTAGCTCTTTGTTAAACATCAGTAAACCCCCGTGCTGGGTACAACCAGGGTGTTTTTCTCTTGGGCGTTTCCCTGTTTCTTGATAACCTGGAAGTGGCTTGGCTTTGGGGTGAAAGAGGTCAATACCATGTACCACCAAAAATTAAAACTAATGTTGTCATCAATGCTAACAGCCGATAGTTTTCAAACAAACGCAGACCTGAAACCCCAAAAGTCAATATTCCAACCTTGGCAAAATCATGGTTTAATACTATATTTACTTGTAAAACCTTGAAAATTAAGACCGGAACTTAAGGTTTTCCATGAAAGAACTTTATTTTGGTAAAAATGTTTAGTAGGGAAGCGTGAGCCAAATGTGGTTTGTTGTAAACTTTGTGCACTTTGATGCCAGCTGCTCATCCAGTATGAATGGAAACAGCTCCAGTAAGAACCACGATCTTCCCTAGCTAAGAACACGGCTCTCTGTGAAATTTGGCTTTGGTTTCATCCAGATCAGATTTACGCTGGGGCACTGTGGGGATGGCTGAGGTTTTGGCTGAGACACGAAATTTCTCCCTTTCCTGTTGGCTCAGAGGGACATCTCGTGACACCGCGCCGATATGATTTTTGGCGGGGGGTCAAAGGGGTGCAGCGCAGAAATGAAACCGAAACCTGAAGCCAGTGTGCAAACTCCCAGGATTAAGATCAAAGCACCCTGGAAATATTCTGCTTTTCTACCTTCTCCATTTCCTGAGATCACTCTAAGTCTGTTTAACTCCATGTCCAAGGATTGGACTGTTCTTGCCTTTAATGTTTTTCTTTTTTCCCCAAGTTGGGGATTCTTGGCAATGTGATTTAGAGGGTGAGATAGGAATAACAGTCGGTTTCTGGTAGCCCAGGCATCAGTCAGCCCAGCTTGAGCAGCAGCCAGCAGGACCAGGCAGGGCTCAACCTGGCTGTGAATTGTTCCCTGGGTTGCAAAAGGATCTGCTTGAACCTCGTGGTGCACGTGCCCCTGTAAAAGGCCTCTGCTGTATTTGAGCCTCCCGTTTATCGGATGCAGGGAGGGGAAAAGCTCTTTAAAAGCCTCACGACACATTCACTGAGGTAACCTCGCGTTGTTCCAGTCTCCTTTGAACCCTCCTGCAAATAGAAATCGTGGTTGAGCACTGTTTTTATATGTTCTTTAAGCCCTCTCCCTGCCTTTTTCTACACATGTGAGTGCAGATGTGCTTTGCTTTGGTTCTGGGAAGGTATCATGATAACAGCCTTTTCCTTCTGAAGACTCTGCCTTGCAAGACTCCTTCCTCAAAAACCCTAAGCCCAAGCTCCAGAACTGTCTGTAGAACGGCTTCATTTCTTTCTAGCTCCTGGGGATCTGAAGTATTTGAGATTAATGAATTAATACGGCCGTCGGCTGTGTTTGGGGAGGTGGGAAAAAAAGCTGGAAATTTCTTAGAGAAACTTCTGGCTGCGACAATGCCAGAAGGGACTGAAAAATCCAACTGTCCTGACCCTGTGTGCATAGCGGGTAGGAGAGAGAGTGGAAAAGGCAGGGAAGGAAGGGGGCTGAGCAGGGGCAGACTTTGGAGACATCTTGTAACGTATAAAATTCTTTAAATAAAGAGAGCATTTTTACAAAGCCTGTAGAGATTTGCTTTAGTCCAGACTTGTACTAAGAGACAAAACAAGCTCTCCAGCTGTGTATACACGGCTCTTCCCTGCCAAGACAAACAGAGCGCTTGCTTTGCTAAGAGATGTTAGAAATGACACTTCTCAAAGAGGCTCCTGGCTGGGCAGCCTGGGAGCTTGCAGCCAGGTGAGGTGGTTGTGACTGACCTATGCAGAATAGAAAAAAGAACTTAAGCCTTCCAAGCAGCAAATGAATTCCTGCTCCTTGTGAAGTTGAGGTCCCCAAGCACCGCGGTTACTGGAGACGCGACCACCGCTGGATTCGTGCTGTTTCTCCATGGAAGGCAGCCCTGGTATTTGACATGTTTACAGGCATCCTTGGGAGGCTCCAGGAACAGGAGACTCACGGAGCGGGCTTGGAAGCCACGCGGATCATCTGTAGCTCTCAGTTTAGCTCCAAGTCTTGTTCCTAAGGACTTTTTTTTTCTGAAGAAAGATTACTTCAAAGCAGACCCTGAAACCCACTGGCTTCCTGTGTAGGCACCCAAGGCTCAGTGGTGATGTGCTCATAGCATGGGTGGATACGTGGTGGAGTATTCTGGAAATTCCTCGTAGTCTGGAAATTCCTCGTAGTCTGGAAATTCCTGTATTCTAGAAATTCCTCGGATTCTGGAAATTCCTCATATTCTGGAAATTCCTCGTATTCTGGAAATTGCTCGGATTCCTGCCTGCACCTCTGCTGATGCCAGTTACCTCGAGTGAGACATCATTGACTCCCTTCCTTCCCACGTGGAGTAGCTACTGTGATGTTTCTCATGGAAAAAAAACCAGATCACGATTTTAACAAGAAGGTCGGATTCTACTTCCATGGGCGTGTGCTGGAGCCCCCTGCCCTGCACAGATTTGCTCTAGACCTTGAGGGGTAGATGCATCCCCCTTAGAGATGATCACAGCACAGAGGAGGAGGGTTCACTGCCCAAACACAGACACAAATACATCTGATTGCAGATTTATTTAGGGCTTTAATTTGACATAATGTTGCTACAACCATAAAAAGAGATAATTTTCCTTTGGAACTGTAATAAATCAATGCTAAGCAACAGCTTCTGCTGCCGCACACTCGACAAGCTGCACGTTCCAGCTTAGGGCTGCAGTAAGAGGCTGCTTTGTGATGGAAGGGATCTAACTGCCTTCACACTTCATTCAGGAAATACTCCACTTCAGAGGTAAATACCTTAATAGTGAGGTGCTCAAAGGATTTTAGCATCATTTCCTCCCTCTACTTGTCATCTTCGGGGACGAAGAACTAGTGGCCATGTTGTGTAACCTTACGTTGGTGTCAGAGGAACAGCTGCAGTAGAGAAAAAATGAATCCGTGGAGAGAGAGGCGAATTTTTTTTTAAAATAGTTTCACAGAAAAATTAAACGTTTTGATGTCAAGTCTCTGATTTCACCCTCCTTCAAGCAGGAAAAAAATTGCCGTAAAAAGTTAACAATGTTTGACATGGGTGAAGGTGTGGAAGCTCCTCCTGTGTTGCAAGGATGAGGTTCAATTTGTGGTTTTTTTCCATCCAAATACTGAAGCCTTCACTGCCAGTTGCTACCTCTCATGAAAGAAAGTTGTCTTTTACACTGGAAAAAAAGATTTTTAGAGTAACATTCTTGATCTTTGTGGAGACTCTCTGTGGTTCCTGTGGTTTGTCTCCTTTATGGATTTATCACCATTATTCTACTTACGTTTAGATACAGCCTTTTATATTTTAGCATGTACAGAACATAAGGATCTCCTTTGATGTGCGCTCAGGGAGGATTTCTGAGTCTCGGTAACATGTCTGTGTCTCTTGATTTGTAAAGTTTCGGAAGGATTTGAAGTCTCCTTTTTTAGGGGTGGGCAGCTTGTGAACCCGGGGTTCCTTATAACTCAGAGAATTCCAGTCTTGGAAGAAATTTCCATTAACAGTGAGTCAGACTCAAGCAAGTCCTCTAGTGACAGACACCCCGGGCACCTCCAGATGGATGCCAGGGAACATCTCGGCATAAACCGAGGTTTAATCCACTCAAATTTCCAGCTGGTGGGAATATTGCAGAATACCCCATTATTCTTGCTCGTAAGTCCTCTCCAAACCCTCGCTCCTGAGAAGAGTTATTAAGAGTGGCTTTGTCTCAGCTTTTCTGTTTCCTCTTCATAATGATTTTTTTTTCCCTCCCCAAGTTTTCAGCCTAATTTGGAGGCTTGGGAGAAAGGAAGCAGCCACACAGAATGGATCTGATTGCCCTGAGCTCAAAAGCAGGAGGCAGCCAACAGTAACACAGTCCCTTTGCTCGCTCCCGTCTAACTCGGGTCACAGTCCTGAACTTCCACAATGCTGCTCCTGGTGACGTAATCAGTGTGGATGTACATATTCCATACCTTCAGCTTTTTAATAAAAGGCTGTGCTTACAAAGACATCTCTCGTCCTTGCTAGAAACCACGTGTTCAGCTGATTTTTTTTTTGCTGGTGCTCTGCTAATCCAGATGTCAGGACATAAAGCAGAACTCGTAGCTGAGATTTGTGACGGAGCTCCTTCTCCCCAGCCTGTCTCCAGGGGTGAGGCATAAGCTCCCTTTTCTCAGCATCGTGGTAGAAAAAGCACTTTGATAATCGACTGTAGCCTGAAGAGCTCTGTCATCCACTGCTGTAACTTGCCTACACTTATGCAGAAAGGTCTGGCAGGAATTTTTCCATGAATGGCATTCACTCTGCGCTCAGTTGTAGGTTGCCATTTTCCTCCTGCAGATGGGTTTACTTGATAGAATAATTACAGCTCAGTGGAACCACATTTCCCTCTGCTCTCCGCAGAAAGCCAGCCGTAGTCTGCTGGGAGTGCTGGTGGGATGTAGACACATCCTGCACATATGATTTTCTTGCATGCCCATAGGCTTTATGGGACAATCTTTAATGAGACAATCACATACTACTTTTCCCCTGCCAGAGGGTGGGCAGCACTCCCAAAACGCAGCTGATTAATACCTTTGTTTGCTGCTTGGTGTTCAGCGTGTGGCTGAGAGGCCAGGTCCCTGCGCACAGTAGGAGCCAGCCTCTGGAATCAGAATTAATTTCCTCCGGAGACCTTCATGGGAACAGCATTCCCAAGACTCAGGTGCTGGAGAGGGTAC